ATGCAAGAATCCTCTGCTAAGCTCAAAGGACAGAACTAGAGCTAGTTGAAAAAAAATTCATCAAAACTGTTTGTAAAATTGGGTTTTCTATTAAACTTTTTTTGTTGTTGTAAAAAGTGTTTGCTTTCTTTGGAAAATACAGATTTTTCATAGAAAATCTGAACTCTACAAGATTTTGGTTAAAAATCTAAATGTTTTGACCAAAGCCCAACATATTTCAATTTGGATGTAATGCTTGAGTTCCTCATGGGAATTACAGTTCATTTACTTCATGACTCAATTCTCCTTTATGAACTGGGTTACTGAGCTAGACTTAATCTCTCATGATGCACTGCAGCTATAAAACTCCCATGATGCACCACCTCCCCTCAGTAAGAGGACACACCACAGTGTATCATGGAAGATGAAGTCCTGGTTGAATATGCAGAATTAGTACGGTTTACTCATGCTGCCATGTGAATTCCTTTAGTTTTAACCCTGCTAGAAGAGGTTTAGAGCATCTCTCAAGGACAGGTGTAACTAAGGGCTGGGACAGAAAGTTATCTGAGTCAACAATTCTCTTCTTTGTTACTTGTCTGTACAAGTGCCTAACACAATGGGATCCTGACCCTTGATTTCAGAACAGCCAAACACTGGTCAACCATAACTCCAGAGTCATGGACAGCATCACCAGCACTGTTTCAGATAGGTGTATATCTTTCAGCACATTCCTGAGTGCAATGACAAGATACCAGCTATTCCTCACATCGCATGTACTGATGTTGTGTTCCCTAGGCCCTTAGCTAGCTCATACAACTGAGTCCTAAATTAAGTCCTAAACAAATGTCCATAGTTGCACTACCATGCAGGTGTACAAGTACGGTTATTATATTGTGGTTCAGGACAAAACATCAGCCAATGTACGTGCTCAGGTTTCAGATTGCTGATTCATTACTTCCCTTTATGGCATTTTAGCCACTGGGGATTTACAATCAACCTAACAAGAGCAGAGAGAGAAAAAAAGGGAAAGGGAGCTAGATATGTTGGGTAAAATGTAGTGAAAGATGACTTAGGAAGAGTGAGAATAAAAGCCATTTTTATGATGCCTGGAACATTCTGAGATACTCAGAACAATTAAATTACAGAGAAACTCTTCTTTTTAATCCCCTGATAGGGTCAGAAAAGGAAAGGAGCCAGCCTGAGTTTGTGGATATAAAATGCCCATGTGGTGCACTTCATGCTGATACTGAGAAGTAAATGTAAAGAATGTCTTGGCTGAAGTGAGCCACAGTTTAGAACTTTGCACTTAACTTGGCTGAGGGAAGCCCTACTGGTTGATTTCCCTTTAATTGGCCAAGTTCCAAAAAGAAAAAAGGAATGTTTCCAGATTCCCCATCTCATCTCTGGTTTCAGAGTAGCAGCCGTGTTAGTCTGTATCCGCAAAAAGAACAGGAGTACTTGTGGCACCTTAGAGACTAACATCTCATCTCTCTAACCCTATTCCTGAAAATAAACCCATCCTCCCTGACTCCTGCTGTCAAACTTGGCTCCTGGCTCCCTACAGCACTTCACTCTGATAGTATGCTGGGGTGAATTAATTCATTCCCCTCAGCTGGCCCTGAAAATCCCTGAACTTGAAGAAGGCATCTGTGGTCCTCCCTGTAGCCAAAAGGAAGGAATGGGATTTAACCCCTTCCTTGTCAATCTCCGCACAAAGCACCCCATCACAATACCTTACTTTTGGTCCCAGCATGCTTGCTTGTTCGGTCAAATAGTGACATATACTCTACAATATTGTGCTATTAGCATATAAATTTGGTAGCATAGCTGTTAAAACACCATCTTAGTAGTCATTTCCTTTAGCAATTGTTAATTTGAGAGAAATCTGGCATACATTTATTATAATTATTATTACCTACAGTAGTGGTAGAAAATAGTTTGGTTTGGCATGTATGATTTTCATTTTCTTCAACCAGCCTATTTTTATAGGTCAACTACTACTGTAACTTAAATGTTGATTAAAAAAAATAAAATTTTTACTCTTCCTTTTTATGAGTAGCATTTTCCTGGCTGACTTTCACTGGATAAAATGAGACATTTTATTAAAAATTCTTAAAGTTGTATTAAAGTTTTAACACCTCATTAGTAGAAAAACAAGGTTTGACACTATGATATCAGAATTCTTTAGACCTTATAGAAATCTCAGACAGGATAGGATTCTCTTACTTAATATTCTAAATGAATTCCATCACAGAAAACATCATCATTTCCTGTAGCACAGACTCTCAGTTCTGGCTCCTAGTCAATCACTAATATGCTGGCTTTATTGTCTGAAGTTCCACAACTTCCTCCCAGATTTGGAAATAAGAAACAGTCAAAATCTATTAAACTGGACACCATTGACTGCTCTTAAATAATTGCAAACTGAGTTAAAAAGAGAGTGCTGATCCTCCGAGGTGCAGAACGCCCTAAACTCCCATTTAGTTCAATGTCCTGTCCCTTAAATGGGCCAAGAGATCACAAAAACTTTAGCTTTGGGCAGAATTCTGAATTAACTCTTTCTTTAACCCATCCACAATGATGCTTTGCTGATTTTTCTGTTTTTTTATTTTGTTCTGAAGATTCATTTTACATGTTCAGAAAGCAAACAGAGTGTGTGTAAGAAACTGAACTCTCTTTCAAAAGTTAGGAGAGAAGAAGGAGGGAGAATGCATCATATGCACTGCAAGGGGAGACCTAATAATCACATGTATAAAGAAGAAGTAGATGGAAAGAAAATCATCCTCAAGAGATTCTGAATTGTATTTTATCTCATATTTATGGCTAAGAAATTGCGTCTACACTTTTCTTTTAATGTTTGCAGAGATGCAAAATCAAGAAAATGAAATAAACAAGAAATCAATTTTGGTAGTATAAGACTCTACATTCTTCAAATCATATTTTTTACTTTTATCTAATTTAAAATTGATGGACAGAGTTTGCTAGTACCTCTCATCAGCCCTTTCTGGGAAATTTATTATCATGGGCTTGCAATCTGTGACCATGTTTTCTTTATAATGGAACTCATATCACTGAGATGATGATTCCTGTAATACACCGATGGCAAGAAATGGTCTTCAGTATTAGCATATTTTGTCTTTTACTCATTCTGAATGATAGCTGAACCCCAGTACAGCTCAATATTATATGATTTCCAAAATACCACCAAATTAGCTAAGTATGTTCTGTGCCGTTACACAGAACAATATAGCAGGTATCACAATCTCTAGAGATCTATTAAGTCTTAAGGGGAGTTGGCAGTTTGTAGTGTGTGTTAATGTTTAATTTGGATACAATTTGGATACAAATTGGAGTTAATTATAGGCAAGTGGTTTGTGACTCAACCATTCCTATCTATATTGAAATTTAATTCTCTGGCTTTGTTTTATTCCAATTAAATTAGCCATATAAAGAAGAGCTACTCTATAGCCTTACAGAAAATGACCAGGTAGTGCCAACTTGGCATTGAGATGTGACTGATTTGCTTTCTAAAGGCTATCAAACATTAGGAATTTGTCGCAAATCAAAAAAAATGGCGCTAAGTCTTAGATGTAGCACAAAATATCAATACATGATCTTTAAAGCTTCTGCATAGACTATAAAAATAAATCAAATCAAGCAAATTAGATTGTTTCACTGGTGAGGTTCAGAAGAAATTTGTAAGCCAAAAACCTCCATGGAGTTAAGTGAGAGTTGTTTAGGTCTTGGCTTTTCTTTTCTAGAATTAGCTTTCTTTAGAACAGGATTTGAGGAAGCAAGTTAGAAAGTGCAGATGTGCAAAGGCAAGATAAGAGATGCACATGGTAACAATACCAACCATTTAAACTTTGCAAAGGGACAGATTCTGATATCCTTCTTTACACGGAGTAACATCTTACACCATGAGTAGTTTCATTGCAGAAAAGGATATTAGAATCTGGCCTGAAATTACTCACTGCTGTGTTTTTTATTTTTAAATAAAGGGAAAATAGCCTATTGTACATTAAAGGCCAGATTCTGCCATGATTATTCACGAGTACTAATTTACTCTGCAAATAGACTTTGATTAGAACCTTCCTCTGTATGTAGTCCCTTTAATGTGACTAAGTGTTACAAATGTAGGGTCCACTTTTGCAAGCTACTAAACGTAATAAATAAAGATAGATAAATAATAAAATTATTGTGACTCTTATTTGGTTACATTGACTTACAGTAGGAAGAGACTTGTTCACTTTTATGAACAATTCTCCTTGGAATGCTTATTAACAGCAGCAGTGGCTTGGAGCCACTCAGTCGATTGAAAGATAAAGATGCTATGCTGTCCTCTTCATGGTCTAACACTGTAGCACTAGGCATTTATTCCTGAAATATCTTTGGTAGTTTCTCTTGCTTTCTAAAACTTGCAAGCAATGAATGAACAGGCTGTTTTAAATGTTGTAGACAGATGTTATTTGGATACCAAACCACTGGAATAGAACAAATCTGCAGATCTTAGTTACTCTAATAAATACTAAATAAATACTTTTTGATGTATCTTCCTGGAGAACTGTCATATTGCTGTTTCCGCTGTTAATTTTGAATATTTGTATATTGTGTAATACCAGATACAAGCAAAGTATGCAGATCAGCTTCAAGAAGACTGTCAATTTTTTTTCATCCTAATATCCTGATAACTAATCTAGCATTCCAAGTTCTGTATCTTCAAGCATTGAAGCGGACATCTATTCTCCACTTAACAGAAACACATCCATGTACATTGTGGGCACTTACATGCATGTCAGAGATAATCTCAGAAACTTTAATGAAAAAATATTAATTCCTTCAATTCTAGATAAAGACTGTTTAAACATGTTTGCTGTATATTTATTGTGTACATACTGCATGTACATGTTATACCTATAGACATATTGTACATATGTACATAATTATAGATATTTATGTGTATAATATATGAATTTGACACAGATATAGAGGTTCATGAACCAATATGTACAATAACTTACCTATAGAAGAATTTCTTCCTTTTTCTTTTCACTTGAGTTTGTCTAGTTTGTGGGAAAGAGACATCCACTATTCAAATTTCTTCACTTGGCTCAGATAAACTAGAGAGAGTTTTCAGTTCATACTAGCAGTGTGAACAGTATCCCAGGAAGACTCCTCTTGCTCCAGCCCCTAGTAACTGAACTCTTCCAGCACAGTCACATTTTATTTATACACATACTGTCCTTTTCAAAACAAGCAGCCAGCTGGAATTATTCAAACCTCCGTTCAGCACACCGTTAAAATGCAGCTTCCTTCTTGGACATGGGAATTACACCAGGGAGCAGTCAGAGAACAGCAAAAAGGCTATGAGAACTATTTAATCACCCGAATACCAGCTGCTCCTGCTACTACTGCTGCTTCTGGTGCTGCTGCTGCTGCTGCTGTGCCTCTTGTTTAGCTGTAGTCACTCTCCCTTTCCCCTTCTCTCATATCTACAGAACTATAAAGGCGGCTTTACACGATTATGATTGGCAGAAACAGCCAATTCCTTCAGCTAATCAACCTCAAGACTTTCAAGGACTAGAAGCTGTTGTGATGTCATTCAGAGAGTGACATGTTACAGATGAATACATTCCAATGGAAGCTAATTCAAAGATCAGCAGCATTCGTCTCACACCACAGTGATTGATTAGATGCTCCTGGAGGATTTGCATAATCTGTCATTGTGCAGTTGGACCACCTCCTTTACAACCAGGCTATATTAAATGTGGGGGTGAAATACTCACTTGCTGCTTCTGACACCTACACCTGAAGCTGTAACTAAAATAATGGGAAACTGCAAAGTTTAGTGATTTTCCTGGCTGGAGTATGTTTCAATTAGGTGAAAAAAACAGAATGTGAGAAGTATAGCAGGAGAGTCACACTTGTGTAAAACTGCAGGCTCCCTCCCTCCCTAAAGCTAGGACCCCCTGAGAAGAGAAAAGACGCTTTATTAACAAAACAGAGGGATTACAGCCAAAGTCTGTTTAATTACAAATAATTTAATTGATAGTGTGTTGGTGTGGATGTGTTCAACCAGCTGTACTTTACCATTTCACTTCATCTGAGAGGCACACAATATCCTTCCATCTATATGTGACATAAACATGGCCCATCTAGCTACTGCATACTTATTGATCAGAACCTTCTGTCCCATACAATTAAAGACTAGCCCTGGTCACACAACCATAGCCAAGGATCATGATTTTTTATGCAATTTTCTTACATTACACTACAGGAAAACTTAAGCTCTTTGATGTAACATCTAGTTTCCAATTTTAACTGGTTTGACTGAGGCACATATATATCCGTTCATTCCAAAATGATTCATGCATGATACCCTTAAACACTGAAATTTAGTCACGTCTACACAACCCAGACACAACCTAGCCCACAGTAAGGGAAGGGTAATTTTTAACAAGGAGATATGTGCAAACCTATATTTGTCTGAAAAAAATGAAACAGGATCTCTGATGTTCATGCCATGCAGGCACATCCCCAATATACAAGGTACCATCTAAAAGACCCCAACACAGTAAATTGCAGGGAGAACTCAGTTTACCTTGAGTACCTTGGAATGAGGAAGGGCTCAATTGAGTCTGCCACGATTTGAATTTGAGGTTCCAGGAAGAGTAGGTGTTTCTAACCTGTTGCTTGGAACCTTAATTTGTCCCCTCCAGCTAAATCAGAGATTGAGTTGGAATTAAAACCCAAGGCACTTCTAGCTCATTTTCTGTAACCCCTGAATTACACAGAATCTCTGGGGATCATAAATTCTCATAACATGTCATGCCTTCCACAGCCTCCTAGGGACTAAGGCTGTGATTGTCAAAGAGCCCTAAAGGAGTCAGATGCCCAACTCACATTGAAATTCAGTGGAAGTTGGCTGCCTAATTCCCTTACCTCCCTTTGAAAACCAGAATTAAAATCAAAACCTCCAAAGCATTTTACAAATTCAAGTTAAAATTTCCTTTCCTTTCTGAACCTGATAACCCTACGCAATCTAGAATAACTGCCTCCTATCATAAGTACCCCACGAGCTTCATGAAAAGATCAGTCTCAGCCATCATCCACCATCTGCCCCTATTCACACACTTCACTCCCATCTACACTCATAGTGATATAATACCAAGGCCACACAACTTTGGGCTGGGCTACTTAACTTCACCACTGTGGAAAAGGGAAAGTAACATACATCTGGCAGAATGCTCCTCTGCTGCAGCCAGATGTACCAGGCACATCATCCTATTCCTTTGAATTTAATGGCACATCAGAAAATGGAATAGCACAGATGCTCCTTTGGAGGGCCAGCAGCCAAGTGGTTAAGCATGTCCTCAAAAATTTATTTTAATTTAGATGATAAAGTCAATACACTCAGCCATTCCCAGAGCTTTATTCCTTAGCCTAATGGCATGTCATAATGGAAGAATCCAACATGAAGCAGCATGGCTATTAATTTGTACCACCTCAAAACTCTCCTTCCCTATCCAATGCCTTAAAGACCATCTTGAGTGGAATACACAATATCTCACTATAGCTTCTAGATAGAGTCCACCCACTGACACAAATATCCACAAATCAATACTCATTTCAGCTCTCTCCTGCTGTTCAGGATAATGTTTCAATGCTAGTCTGTTCATACTACTGTCTGGAGTTTCAGAGATTGCTGCAAGATTAATGTTAGTGGGATAGACCCATTTGCTCAGCTCAAGTGGCTGGCCTTACCCAAGTGGAATGATATCAAAAAGGTTATAAACTGGTCTGTCATATCTTCTTTTAATGCTTGAAACACAGGCAAAGCTGCTCTATGTGAAACAAAAAGAGCTTACCCACGTTAGGGTAAGGGGTAAACAAATTCCCATATATCAAATTCCTGCTCTTATCTATTTTGGGTAGTGCAGATAAGACTCCTTTTGTCTACATTCTGCCCCAACCATGAGTCAGTTTGAAAGGGCCATTCAGTTTAGAACATTGTTGGTTTCCTGTTCTATTTCAGAGAAACTCTCTGAAAAATAAGGAACAGAAGAGAGGGGCCAGTGAGAAAAATAATTCAGTGAAAAAATAAGGTGAAAAAACCCTAAAAGCAGCAAAGGAGAAACAGAGGAAATTTCTAACTCTAATCATAAAACAGCCACAACATTCCTTTATACCACCCGAAAGGTAATCTTCTATTCCTTCCATATAGTATGGACTTCTCATTATCTAATGACATATTTTTAAAATTGAATTACCCTTGGAAATAAAATATTAGTTAATACCACCGTTATGTTTGTCCATGTATTTTTGTCCATGTATTTGTACTTAATCCCTTGTGAACCTTTCTGCCATCTGTGTCGGCTGGAAAATTATAGATGAAATCATGAGAACAATCTTGATCCTTCTCTCACACTTTTCAGAGAGCCTATCATTTCTCTCTCTCTTCCCTCCCACCCCCAAATTCTTTAGCATGTGTAAATCTTTCTTTTGCTCTGTAAAATTTGTTCTTGAAAGTTTATAAATTCTGGAAACAAGTAAGAAAATGTTTGACTCTTCTAAACCCCATTGCCTTCTACCAATCCCACTATTACTCAGCTTAGGTGACCTGAAATCAACAAAACACCAAGTCCAAGATTTTCAGAAATGCGTGCCTAAAGTGAAAATGATGGGAACTGCTGAAGATTCAGCATTTTTGAAAATCATGCTTCTTATTTTGTTACCTAGGTAAAACCAGGATCTGAGATCCATACTTATCTATCCTTTCTTAGGTACTTGTATGGCCCATATCACTCTAGTGATGCCTCACATTCTTTAATGTATTCATCCTCACAACACCTTTGTGAGGTAAAGAAGTGCTCTTATCTCCATTTTACAGCTGGGAGCTGAGGCACAGAGAATAAGTGCCTTGCCCTAGATCACATAGTTCATCCGTGACAGTGCAAGGCATTTTGAACCCCAGTCTCCCAAGGCCCAGGCAAACATCCTAATCACTTGATCATCTTTCCTCTCTATTTTAAAATAATTCTCTTCCAAACCTTTCAGGAGTATAAAAGGATAGTTTTGCCATTGCTACGTATATTTTGTGCTTTCCACTGTTTTCCTCATCCACCCATTGCAATGCTCTGAGAATATTTCAAAAAGGATTCTTATTTTTTTCCATTCAAAGCAAACTTTACACATAACAAAAATGTCCTACAACTCTATGGGGCACCTCTCCAAAATAATTCCTAGTAAATATAAATGGTTGTTTCAACTAAAAGTACCTTCCCACTTTTTAGCCACAGAATGACTGTTAACATTGGATTCCTGAGTTTTAAAACAAGAAATGGCCATCTCTCAAAGACCTGCTTCTCTTTGAGTTGTGGAGGCATCATGTGAGCTTCCCTAAAACAAGCCAATTGAGCATTGTTGATTAAGCTTATTTCACTAAATGTGCACAAAGATTTTAAGAGCAATTCCTTAGCTGGTATAAATCATCATAGCCACTTTGACTTCAATGGAGCGATGGCAACTTACACCAGCAGAAGATTCTCTGATTCTAAGATCTGCCCCTAAATCTCCAACAGGGTCCTCCAGATCCATATTGTTTTTATGTATATTAAGCTAACATAAAATGGTAACAGGATTTTTACAGCATTCAAATACATAGTTCACTAAATGTAAGGAATTTCTTTCTAGTGTCTTGATAAGTTTATTTTAAAAGAATCCAACACGTTGGTTCTAAACCAAAGTGTTTAGCAGTTATGTAAGCTCAGAAGGGTACAGATATATATATATACACACACACACATACTTGGACTTCAGCTTCATGCCTCACAACACACCCAAGGCATTAATATCTTTTACTAGAAGTGCCTGCATTGTCATGGGTTATTCTTTATTTCCCAGATGATGTATGGGGAAGATACTGCTAGTATTCCATTTAAGTATGAAGCAATGATTTGAAAAAAACAAAACAAAACAAAAACCTGTTACAATGTCCTATAAGGGAGGGGGAGGCAAAAAGTATTCCCTAGAATTCCTCCTTGCAGACCTTCTTCAATCACACTGCTTCTGTTATTCCACTGTCTACACTGCATACAACTCCCACTATTCTGTTGCAGGTGGAAAAGGCTAATTGGATACCTTTGTTCTGTAATGGCCTTTATCTTTTCCTCCCTTGTAAAGTAACTTTCATGTCCAGGCATGACTTTGTTACTGTAAAGGCTACGTTACTTTCAGAAAGTCTGTTGATATAACCCAATATTCAATTATATGTTATACCAATTTTAATTATTAATTAACATTTAACATTAGAACTGTCCCACATTGCTCTAATCCTATCAATATCTTTTGCCTTAAATGCTTACTTAACTGAAAAAGTATAACCTCTTGTCTTCTAAATCCAGTCATCAAAACACTAACCATCTAAGAGAAAAATAGATGGTCTAGTGCCTCTTAATCCAAAACCTAATCTATGTCACTGCTTACTGTACAACCAAGTCATTTTGACATTGAATGCTGTAGAAAAGACAACAGCACTTCTTATCCAAGATAAATGTCATTGTACATTCCTAAATAAATAAATAAAGCCTGTTGGACCCTATCCTCTTCCCAGTTTTTCCCATACAAATATCCACCAGGGATTCAGATCCTACTTTCA